TTACTACTAGGAGCAAGAACGCTAGGAGCAAAGGGCATCGCTACTAGAAACAAGGACGCTACTAGGGGCTCCTGGCCTTGCTACTAGGAGCAAGAAACTACTAGGAACAAAGGGCATCGCTATTAGAAGCAAGAAACTACTACCTGAAAGACTTCCTCCACACCAAACTTCACCCAAACTTTCCCGCCACAATCTCCGCAACTGGATGCGCATCCACCTCGAGGTTAGGCGCGTTGTGCCTGGGCAAGCAGGATTGAGTCTGCACGGTGTTATCCCAGGGTGCGCCGATCGCACGCTGCGCACAAACAAGCCTCCTCCGATGTTCGCATTCCCTTACGTTCTTCCCCCAAAACCCGTCAAACACCGCCCTCCCTATTCTACTCGGCGGCAGAAAATGGTATCAAGGCATGAACGCCCACGGAGGGAACCCCCTCGAGCGTTTTCGCGCGAACGTCTGTGGCCCTTCCAAGAATCACATCCTACACTCTCCTGGCATTGAATTGGGCTCGTGGTTTGAGATCAATTCCATATACTATCTGTCCCTGGATCAGCAAATGGAGTCAAACCGTTTGGAAGACCAGGAAAATGATGTGCTCCGCTAAACACGGCTATCTTGGAGATCAGTCGCGGAATCGAATCACTGGTCGAATTTTTTTTAAGGGTATCTCAGTATCTCTGTTGAACAGGTCCATCAACTGCATCTGCAAAGGTTTCTGCAGGTGGTGTCCACACCTTGACAGGACTCAGCTTCAACTTTCCTTTGGAGCCCGGGCGCTGGTGCCATGCTGCTTCACCTGGAAGGATGTTTCACCCGAAGGTCAAACTCATGCTTACGCAGGTGGTTGCAAGAAAGCTGGACGTCCTAGCTGTAACAAAACAGAGAGAAACCAGCGGGATTCCTGCTTCTAACATCCCACAAAGCAGAACTGAAAAGAAAGCCGCTTGGGTGGGGGTAAGGGCCGCTTCACCGTGTCTCGCACCAAATTTGGGTGGTTTATGCACGCTTATGCGAAGTTTTTGGAGACTATCCAAAAGCTTAGCGCAAGCCATCAAGATGTGGTGCAAGACATGACCGTAATCAACAGCATGTCATCCTGTTGATTACAGTCATGTCCTGCACCAAGCCACCATCGAAGAAACTCTTCAGGCTAGCCAGCGAGTGCAAGCCAAGTATGATCTGTTGTCCCTCAGAGAAGGCCGCACCACTGATCCCACTTCACAAAATGGGCATGACCTCCCTTCATTCGACGCTGCTGGGTCGGTACTGGAAGACGCCGAAAGTGGAGCGCTTGCCAAGGAAGAAACCAGGAGCGCCCAGCGGAAGGTTGAGAGTTTCAACGTCCATCTGGTCCACATCCGTGCTGGAGGAAAATGTCTCAGCTTACCATTTGTTCAATGTCACTGCCCTCATAATGGCCGTCTCAGGTCTTTTCCAACGCAGATGTGAACTTGGCGCGCGCCCCATTATGAAGGAGGCATGCAGGCCCTGCGTCCTGACCTTGCTGGGCCGCAGCTTGATCTTGTGGCACCTAGTGTGTTGGTCGCGTTGATCAAGGATTGAATTTGCTCACATGTGTTTGGCGCAACTTGAAGTGACACTTGATATTGATGTTTTGTGACGTTTCCTGTGGCAACTGGCGCCAGCCATGCGTAATAATCACGCGCAAGTCAGGCAACACAAGCTAGGCCACACTAAATTCAAGTAGAACACTGACTGAAGGCTGCCTCGCACACCAAGTGACAAAGCTATTTAATGGTTGTCACGAATGCCTGGTGGAGAACGGGTGGCATGTGAGAACGCGGCACGCGAATACTATTCAACCATGCACTTGGCAGGTGGTGTTTGCTCTCAGGCCAGTGTTGCGCTGCGAGTGTCTTGTTGGTCTTGTCATGACGTTGATGAGTTTGACTTGACAGGCGATCGAGGAGTCTTCAAATTGCAGCCTCACATGTCACATGCCACATGAAGCATGTAGGACATCGCATTCACCTGTTTCATCTGAAATTTGCATGTCAGTTATCACGCTTGTCGCAATATATACCTCATAACTCAAAAATATATATATTGCGGGAGCTCTTTTGATCTCGCAAAGGGTCTAAGTGCGGTACACATGATTTGCGTGTGTCATCCTTTGGAACTGGAATGCCTTTTCTTAGCACTCCTCCTTGGAACATTGAGCCCTTTTTGGCTTGTATGTTCCACTAAAACTTCAGTTTCGGGCTATCTAGGAACTCCTGGTGGCGTTCCATCTTTTTGTACACTAGCAGCCTTCCTGCCGCATCTCCGGTTCTGTCTGCACGGAGCCACTCGTGATGGAGCTGTTCCATGTGCTCCTTCGCTCTCAGCCCGGATCTTCCCTCTGGTAGGTCTAGATCTCCAAGGTCTTCCATTCTCATTTTCTTTATCTCTTCAATCTTTTCATCACGTTGCCTCTTTCGTTCAGCCTGCCTTGCTTGCTCGACATCATTGTCTTCTGGATCGCTCTCAGGCTCTCGTCGTTGTAGGTACTCCATGGGGATGTCAACCACTTCTCCTGAGTCTAATCGGACTTGGGCTGTCTCTCCCAACTCCAGTTCTTCTCCTGGTACATCATCTGGAAATGCACCAGCAAGATCAATCTCCTCATCCTCAAAGTCATCGATGCACTTCCTGATCAGATGATCTTTTGCTTGTGCCTTCAATCTCTGAAGATTGTAGTTCCTGTTGGACCGCTGTAAATAGTCCCAGTGTTTCCAATCTTCATCAGCCATTTCACCCTCGTCCACGAAGCCGTCATTCTTGATGAGACCTCGATGAAGTTTCAACATGTATTCGGCCATTGTCTTCATTGCTGCTTTCTCTGAGTCTTGCTGCTTCTTCACCTCTTTCACATCGTAGTCCACTGCACTGATCATCATCCCATCAGTTTTGCAGTCTTCTTTCAGCTCTTGAAGATCCCTCTTCACTTCTCGCAAGCTCTTCCAGAGCATGTAGATCACTCCAGCAAGGATCATCACAAGCGCGAGCAAAATGCTCACTGCCAAACTTGCCATAGAGCTCCAACTCCTGTTTTCTTCGACCATGCACATGTCCTTCTCATCAACATAGTTCCCGGCCACGTGCTCAAGACCCTCAAGAAGTAAGATTCGGTTAAGCAGTTTGGCTAGCCTTGCAATCTTTCCTTTGCTGACTTGCTCATTCACCACTCTGTCATGCTCTCCTTTTCCCAAGCGTTCATGCTCCTTGTTGTTGACCCTGCACCAGAAGAGGATAAGTTGAATCCTTGCCCTGCTCAGTGGCTTCGTCCCAAGGTCAGCGACATTGTATACAGTCCCAACTGACTTCACCTTGAGCTCCTCCTGGGCAACTAGATCCTGCACCCACAGCAACTTTCCTGCGATGTGCCTTAGCCTCCCTGGGCCCTTCTTGTGGCACAGGTGCAAGGCTGCGGAGTTGTCCACAAGGCAAGTAGATACCATCTGCTGCTGCACCAACCAGGGCATTCAATTCTGCTTCTGCAGAGCTAAGGCTCACAGACTTTTGCCCCCTTGAGCTCGAGAAAACGATGGCTCCATTCACCATGTGAATAGCTGCACTTGTTGATCTCCTGTGACTCTTTGAGCCTGACCAGTCACTATCAGAGAAGGTCTCTAGCAGCCATCTTGAGGTTTCGCATCGCGTCACCAATCCACGGCCTGCCTCCTCCACTTCCATAACACTGTACTGGCCCATGGTGGACTTCAAATAGCCAATCATCTTAGCCAACTTCTTCAAGCTCCCGGTTGTAGGGCATGCCATGTTGGAAGCCAGCTCTTTCACTGCGAAGCTGATGTCCATCCGCTCCTGGCTCAGGTAGATGCCGCACCCTACCAGTGAACGGTAGAGTCCTGCCAGATCTGAACCTAGTGGCATGGTCCCATCTTGCTCCAACATCTCTTGCCCGCA